TTCCCAGCCTGCCTGCAGCAGGAGGGCACTGGGGATGGCGATGCGACGGGGAGGCGCTTCCCCTGCCCTCTGGCCATGTGGGAGCTGGGACACTGTGACCCCAAGAAATGCACGGGCCGGAAACTGGCCCGCCACGGCCTGCTCCGAGCCCTGCGGCTCAGCCAGAGGTTCCCGGGGCTCGTCCTCAGCCCCGTGGCTACTCAGTACGTCTCTGCCGCCGACAGGTAGGTTCCGTGCGAGGCGCAGCCTGGAGCCTTCTCCTCTCAAATCCGCCCTCTCCGCGCTGCGCTCATGTTACCAACCGTACTGTGTTAAAACTGGTTTGGGGAGACCCTTCGTTCTTTGTCAACTTCAGTGGTTTTGTGGGGGTGTCTTGCCTTCTATCTTCTGGTACAACAGTTAACTATGTATGAAAAGTAGATTCCTTTTTAACAGGCTCAAGTATAATACAGAGATGCTGTGCAGCTTTTATACAAAAATTTGATAAAGTGTGGTTAAAATTGCACTAGGGTTTGCCAGGGATTCCATATTTATAGTGTCCAGTTAATGGTAGCTATTTTTAAACTTCTAACTATGAAATCCAATCTTCAAATTTCAGAAAGTCTGAGGAGACAGAGAGGGACTCAGGAGACTGATGGATCATCTAGTCTGTTCCCCTGAATAGATTTCACTATGATCCTCCAGTGTAACACAAGCCATAAAACACTCCCAAAATAATTCCTATAGTACAGGAGTGGCCAACCTGTTACAGGCAAAGAGCCAAAATAATTGTGCATATAGTGCAAAGAGCTGGGAAGTTGTCAAGCCAAAAAAAAAAAGTGCCCCTTTAAGAAACTTGGTTAAAGGCTTTTTGGCCACATCAGACTCCCGTCAGCTGCCACCATCTTGAACATGCCATTTTGAATGGCCACAGTGGATGGCTCCCCTGCCCTGGAGAGCACAGGGAGCCCGGAGCCATTTTCAGGGGCGGCTTTGTGAGTTGCACTTTCAGGAGAGCCTCATGAGTGGTGGGTTGGCCACAGCTGCTACAGTAAATCTTTTAGACCAGCGGTGGGCAATAAGTTTTGATGGGGGGCACACTCAAGAATTTGGAAAGTGGTCAAGGGCTGCAGTCTTCCTTGATATCTATAGAAGAGGTGCAGGGTCTGTCTGGGGTGGAGTTGCTGTCCTTCTGTATGCTGCCTCTGTCCTTTCCTATCTTGTTTCTCTGTCTTTAGATAATATCTTAATTAACACCATACCTCTGGGCTACATCTACACTGGCAGCTTCTTTCGCAAGAACTCTTTTACAGAAGAGTTCTTGTGCAAAAACTCTTCCACAAGAGAGCGTCTACACTGGCATGTGCTTTTGCACAAGAGCATCCACGCCAGTGTAGACACTCTCTTGCGCAAAAAAAGCTCTGATGGCCATTTTAACCATAGGGGCTTCTTGCGCAAGAAATTCATTTTGCTTGTCTACACTGACCTCTTCTGGAAGGGCTCTTCCGCAAGAGGGCTTCTTCCTGAGAGGGAGCATCAGTTCTCACACAAGCAGCCCTGGTTTTCTACAATACAAAGTCAGTTTACTTGCGCAAGAACGCGTGGCCAGTGTAGATAGGCGGCATGTTTTTGCGCAAGAGCGGCCGTTTTCGCGCAAGAACACGCCAGTGTAGACATAGCCCTGCTGTGCTGAGCCAAGGTCCACCACCACATAAGCCTAAAATTAAAAAAAAAAACCTATTCAGCTTGTAAGTTTCTTTGCATTTGTTACTTTTTCGTTTGCTGAAAAATAGAAATTGAAAGCGCAGAACTTTGAAGAAGCAAGAGCTGATAAGCTGGACAGACTACAGCCATTGTTTCATTTCTATGAGACTAAGTGTAGATGTAGTATGTTTGTGATGAGATTTAATTATAACTTGTTTTAAAATGAGTGAGCTGAGCTCTCTTTGTACCTCTGCTTTTTTGGCAAATCAGTTAAGAAACATGGAAAATTGTTTGCACTTGAGGGATGTAGTTTCTTTATAAGCTGAACCTCTCTGGTCCAGCATGACTTTAGTTAGCCAGTCTCCACTTATCATGGGTGTGGCTAAGTTTCCCTGGGTCCCATAAAGTTTGTTTATAGCCACTAGTCTTAGCTTTCTGTGTTCTGTGCTGTTATTTAGCTCAAATTTACCCATAAGTGTCTCTAAGAGCCCCTTAACCAGTGATAATGCTGCTAGAAAATATTGACCTCCCAGTGTTCAGCAAATTCTCTGATTTGCTACTGGTCAGATCCCAAGGTGTTGGACCAGAGAGGTTCGAGCTGTATACAATACCAACTTTAATCCACAGCACTAAACCTTTAACATGAAACAGTTGATGCTCATCTACAATAAAGTTTGTTTTTCAGACAGGTTGTAGCTCAGAAAGGAGTTGCAGTCATAGATTGTTCATGGGCCAAATTGGAAGAAACGCCATTTAGTAAAATGAAGGGAAGCTGTCTCCGACTGTTGCCTTACTTGGTGGCAGCGAATCCTGTAAATTATGGGCGTCCTTGCAAGCTGTCCTGTGTGGAAGCCTTGGCTGCTACTTTCTGCATTGTTGGTAAGGCTATCATGTGGCGCAAATGTGAAAAAAAATTGTTCATTTTTGTAGTTTTCTTTAAGTAATTTTATCTATCTTAGTGAACAGATGTAAAGAATGTTTTGCTTAAGGTCTGTCTGTCTGTCATACCTGAAATTTCTTGAGCATCCAAGATTGCAGTATCAATCACTAAATAAAAATGGATGGAAAAGATTAAAGTGAACTTTGGCAGTAATTCCAGTTGCTCCTCAGCATCAGGCATGTCTGGTAGTTTGGACAAGTCTTCAGGTCAGCGGAAGTATTCAGCTGCAGCAGAAGGGTAGAAACATCTGCCTTCCTCCCTGGCTTCCACTCAACTAAGCTAGGGGCTTGCCTTTTATACTTCCTTTTCCTGTCCCGTTTCTGGCATGGGGAGCATGACTTTCCTAGCTCCATTCACCTGGGAGTATCTTGCCTTCCCTCACTGTCAGTCTCTGAGGAAGGCCACATTTCTTGCTACAGGGATCCAGTGGATAGCTTTGATGTATGTATTCATTGTATTGTTCTGCAAAGGAGCTAATCACTTTATTCCTCACAGACTAGAATGTTTCATGTCTCCATTTTTAGCCCCAAATTCAGTGAGTTAAATGGTCCACTGGGGAGGTAACATGTCATTGCTTGTGGCCAAAACCTCATTCCAAAAGAAGAGGTGCAGTGCTGGCAAGCTAGAGGTATAACATACTTACTATTTTTGCTAGATATTAACTGAAGTCTACTAGTAATCAGAGGAGATTTGTATTCCTTAACAGGTCAGTGGCAGATGCTCTGATAGTGAGTGTCATGCCTTGGCTGCTCTTTGACATGTTCTCACTTCAGCAGCAACACATCAGCCTTACATGGATTCAGCTTGAGCTAGCTACACATCTTCCTGTTAATGTCTGGGAGGTGTTCAGACACGTTTGGTGCATCTGCTAGGGAAAAATAGAGCTGGTGGGCATCAGGTATTGTCAGCAGAGTCTGTGGTGTGTTTCTGCCTCTTGAGGTGCTCAGGGAATGGTTGTCCATTACCATTTCCTAAGTTTATGAAAGATTGAAACCATTGTAGAGCTGCACTTTCCACTCTGAGAGCTTGTAAATGGGTTGATAGACTTTGGTTGATTGTATTAACTGCATTGAGAGCTACCTGTTGTTTAGAGAGTACTGTACATCAGATTTTATATTTCCATATGCAGCAGACTGACTAAAGCCCAGTGGATCTCTCCTAGATTCAGTTGGGTGCCTCAAGTTGAGTCTTGTGTCTCCAGACCTGATTCCAAAATATTCAAGGATAGTGACAGATTTCTCATGTATAGTCAACTGTAATCCTGCAATTTTTTTTAATCCTAGGTTGGAAGAGCAGCTGGTCATTTTTGTTTTCTGTTTTAGGGTTCTCTGATCTAGCCATCATTCTCTTGCGAAAGTTTAAATGGGGAAAGGTGTTTCTTGAATTGAACAAACATCTCTTGGATAAATATGCGGCCTGCCATTGTCAGGAGGAGGTACTGAGAGTTGAACAGGAATTTTTAGCAAGTGCCCAAGAAAGAGAAACTGAAGATATAGGTAAAAGCTTCCCTTTGTATGGCTTTTCTATGTGGTTTCCTGACCTCTGAATACACTCTTGCTAAAGAAAAAAAAATTCAGTAGCCAATATATGGATACTGATTTACTCAAGAGACTTGCAGAGTGGCTCTTGTAATCTATTATATATTTAAGTGTGTCTTTCTGAGCAAGTGAGTCTGTTTGCTCAAGAACCCCTCCTAAATAGTAACGACTAGGACCACCAAATTTGGTATGCAGTTTCCTTTTATAAGAAAGCAAGGTAAGTTTTTAAAGGAGCCACTTTCCTGTCTCTTCTCCCCCCCCCCCCCCCCCGTACAGGGATTCATAAAACCATATAGGAAAGAGTCACCAGGCAGGTGAAAAGGACTGACTCTCCCCTGCAAATCCGGGCCTCCGAACACCTCTGGCACAGTGTAGGGAGGGCTGCCACACTTTCCCGAGTCGTACAGGAGCATTGCTAGCTGTTCCCCTTTGTCAGAGAACAAGAGGAAAATGCAGAGTTTGCTCCATTCCTCAATCGGGCTGGGGAGCAGAGGGCAGACAAACATGCACCCTTCCCCCCTTGGCTGTGCTTGCTGGAGCTGCAGTTGCCACAGAGCAGCGCTTCTCACCTAGACCCAAGCTGCTGTGGTGAGAGAGGGCAGAGATAATCCTCTCTTCCTGGGCTACTGTGCATACTGAATCCTCCTCTAGCCCCATGCCAGTATAATGATTAAAGTGAAGAAAAACAAAAGTTAAGTACCTGAGCAACACCATATACATCTAATTCATTTTATAAAGGGTGCTTTCAGGGAATTAAAGTGTGAGCCGTTCAGTATTACAGTGACAGATACTGAATTGGGAAGTCTAAACACTAATGAGGACTAAGAAATAAGACCTAAAGTGGAGAAATATTGGCACAAATTAAAACTGGACTGATATCGCTAATTCTTAGTTATATAGTGACAGTTCCTAAAGGTCCTAACCAGACTTGGGGCCCCAATTCTGTGGGCACAGTACAAACAATAGAAAATTCAAAAGTCCCTGTGCGAAGAGCTATTTAAAAATCCAGACAGATGTAAGAAAAATAACTGAGTACAGTTCCTGTGTTGTTCAACTGTCAGCTTCTCATGTTCAGCCTCCTTCAGTAGTTTGTCAGCCTGCATATTCTGTCATTACCATCCTCCTCTTCCCCCATGAAAGTACTTCACTTGAGGAGACACAAAATATCCCAACAGCCTGCCCCAGGATGCATGAAAGCTGTCCTTTTCAGCCAGGCACTTGCTCTCTGGGGGGATAAGTCCACAAGAGTGGGGCCATCCCCTGCCTGCTCTGCTCCCAGGGAGCCACAGCTTGTGACCTGTGGTGCCCCAGGGTGGGTGGGGAGCTGCTCCAGCCCCTAACAGTTAACTAGAATGGGTAAGTCTCAGCTGTTAACCTTTTCTATCCCTAGTCTTGACTAAGATGATGAAACAGTGAAAACTTAGGCTGAACAAAAAACATTTTGTCATTGGAGCATATTAGGTTATAGAACAGTTTCTCCAAGAAAGTAGAAACCCAGTTTTTTGAAACATTTAGAATACTCACCAGAATAGATCTCAAGGAACAAGACTATTCTGGTCTTTCAGAAAGTCAAGGGTAGCTGTACTTCTATCTTCCTGGTCTTTCTGATCGCAGCCTCGGGTTTTTACTGTTTCTGAACTGGAATTCTGCAATTCTCTCATAGGGTCTGTCTACACTACCCTGCTAGTTCGAACTAGCAGGGTAATGTATGCATACCGCACTTGCAAATGAAGCCCGGGATTTGAATTTCCCAGGCTTCATTTG